TTACAAGGTAGGCTTCAGCAGTATGTGGACTGAGAACTCCCAGAAGTAGAAGCTGGATTTCGTAGGGGCAGAGGAACTAGAAACCAAATTGGTAAGATGTACTGGATTAGGGAGAAAGCCAGAGAGTTCGAGAAAAATTTAGACACAGATTTTAGATGCAGCCAAGAAATTAAAAGACGCCTACTTCTTGGGAGAAAAACGATGACAAATATAGTCAGCATCTTAAAAAGCGGAGCCATCACCTTGCTGACAAAGGCCTGCATCGTCAAAGCTATGGTTTTTCCGGTAGCGAAGTATGGAAGTGAGAGCTGGACCATAAAGAAGGCTAACCGCTGAAGAACTTATGCTTTTGAACTGTGGTGCTGGAGGAGACTCTTGAGAGTCCCCTGGACTGCAAGGAGAACAAACCTGTCCATTCTAAAGGAAACCCTGAGTGCTCACTGGAGGGAGAGATCCTGAAGCTGAGGCTCCAGTACTTTGGCCATCTTATGAGAAGAGAAGACTCCCTGGAAAAGACCCTGATGTTGGGAAAGTGTGAAGGCAAGAGGAAAAGGGGACGACAGAGGACGAGAGGGTGTCACCTAAGCTACCAACATGAACTTGACCATACTCTGGGAGGCAGTGGAAGACAGGAGGGCCTGTCATGCTCTGGTCCATGCGGTCACAAAAAGTCGGACACGACTTAACGGTTTCCTGGAATTAGTGGTCTGGGTAGGCATCAGGCCAAATATGAGTGAACAGTGTGATCCCGTAGTGACAGAGGCTGATTACATGCCACTGTACAGCGGTTGATGATGTCAGCTTTCCATGTTATGTCTATGCTATTCTTAAGAAAGGAAGGATGGAGACCTTTTTTAAAAAATACAATGTTTTGCGTATGGTTTTTATTAACTGATTGTATGAAACGGTAGTTCTTTCTACCCAAGTGAACAATGAATAGTGGTAAATATGGGGTGAAGATGATAGTTTTATAATTGCCTCTCCTCAAGGGTGCTTATGCATGAGTAAGTAGTTCTGGTAGCCATGTTAGTCTGTGCAAGCATGGCAGGGTTTTTTTCATGTTCCTTGATTACCTCAGGCCCAGCACGGTGATAAAAACATTCAGTATAAAAGTCCAGTTCTTTCTTTCATCCTTCTGGAGTCCACGTGGAGTTCTTTTTTGTGGTGCTGGGTAGAAGATGGATGTGGTTTGGTATATAATTGCACCCCATGTTGTTGGGTTATATTCTCTTCCTGTTGTGGAGAAAGGGGCACCACACTGCATGAGGAACACACTGTAGTTAGTTCCATTTGTTTTTTTCCAAGAGTTAGGTTTCGTATCCAGCCAAAAAAGTGGAGTCAGTTTTCAAGTCAAAGGTCCAACTCTTTAACCTACCTCTTTGTGGGGGATTAGGGGACAAAGGGACATAGCAAGTTTAAGACAAGATTTCGTTCCAGGGTAAGCTTTTCCGTTTCCTCAAACACTGGAGTATAAATATGCAACTGGTATATTGATATGTATTCCCAGATTCAGATGAGAATGCAGACGAAAACAAAATGGCCGTGTTTCATTAACAAGGGAATGAGGCTACAGTGGTGCCTCACATTGCGACGTTAATTCGTTCCGTAAAAATCGCTGCAGAACGAAAATGTCGCTATGCGATATTAAAAAGCCCCTAGAAACACATTAAAACATGATTAATGTGTTGCTTTGGGCTTAAAACTCACAGTTCAGCGAAGATCCTCCATAGCATGGCCATTTCTGGTGCCTCTTAACTGAGGAATCCGTCCCAGAAAACAGCGGGTGGCCATTTTGTTTAATCGGTGGCCATTTTGAAACCGCTGATCAGCTGTTAAAAATCATTGCTTTGCGATGACCAGTAAGCGAAACAGGAAATCGATCATTGCAAAGCGAAATTCCCCCATAGGGAACGTCGCAAAGCAGTCGCTTTTGCGATCGCAAAAAGTTCATCGCAAAGCAATTTCGACATAAAACATAGCGATCGCTATGCAAGGCACCACTGTATTAAGTTGTAAGTTGCTTCCCTCAGCAGGTGAAAAACCACTAGAAGGTTTCCTAGAGAAGAAAATGCCAGCCTCTGCATATCCGAAGATCAAAAGATGTGAAGGAGGAAAATGACAGTATTTCTCCTTTTTTGCACACAGTGGTGTCTCGCTTAACGAGCCCACCGTTTAACGATGAATCCAGATAGCGACGCGTTTTTTGCGATCGCTAATGCAATCGCATTGCGATGTTTTGAATGGCAAAACATTGCATCGTGATGATCGGTAAGCGTTTCGCTTACCGATCTTCACATTGCGATGTTTTGGGAACAGCTGATAGGCGGTTCCAAAATGGCCACCGGAAGAAGAAAATGGCCGCCCGCAGCATTTTCGCGCCTTGCCCTTGCTTACCGAGGCAGCGAAAATGGCGGCTGTATGGGGAATCTTCACAACGGTGAGTTTTGGCCCCATAGGAACGCATTAAATGGAGTTTAATGCGTTCCTATGGGGTTTCCCGTTTAGCGATATTTCCAGATAGTGACGTTAATCCTGGAACGGATTCACGTCGCTATGCGGGACACCACTGTGCTTTGTTTCCCTTTTTGGTTCTTTCTGGTTTATGTAGAGACCTTTTTCCCCTTCCAGAGGATTTTTTGTTCCGCATTTCAGATTCACTCTTTTTTATGCTTGTTGTTTCTCCAACAGATCAGGAAAGTTCTGCCGGAGGACAACCCTATAAATGCAATGCTTGTGGGAAATATTTTGTGGAAAGGATGGCACTTGCACTTCACAAGAGGGTCCGCACTGCAAACATATGTTTCAAAAAGCAAGCATCTGGAAGAGACGAGGATAACGAACCGCAATTCACGAGCCACCAGAAAATCACCAGAGGAGGAAAAAAATACCAGTGTCAGGAATGTGGGAAGCGTTTTGCCAGGAATTTCTTCCTTCAGGTGCACCAGCGAGTCCACATAGGAGAAAAACTATACGAATGCCAGGAATGTGGAAAATGTTTTCCTTCCACTTCTACTCTTCATGCCCACCAGAGTGTCCATACGGAAGAAAAACCATACAAATGCCCGGAGTGTGGAAAATCTTTTAATCACAATTCAAACCTCGTGAGACACCAGAGAGTCCACACAGGAGAGAAAC